ATATTAGGGGATAAGCCCAGACATGTAAATCAAGTACAGTTTTCTAGGGAAATCATCCACCAGCACTCATCTCCTGGTATCCAATTTCATTTCCTTAGTGATTAAAATGAAAAAAAAAAGTTAGTCACTGGCTGAAAGAACCTTTCATAAAAAGAGGGAAAGTTGAGAATGCCACAAAGGATAAATATCTACCCTAATTAATTTGCTGACTCCTATCTGTGTTTATTTATAGTTTATCTGAGATAGCAGGTGAGTTTACTGCAATTGTAGCTTCTAAACACACATGCATATACAATTACACTTGCAAAAGTCAAAACACATTGAAACCAGAGCCGAATCTACTTTGCAGAGAAAAAAAAATATCAACTCTGTTTTCCTAACTCTGTGAAGTTTGCAGGTGAGGGAGTTGGTTTATGCTTTTCTAATTTGGTGTCTTTTCCCTTCCCCTTTTCCTAATTAGGGATGTTGTTCTAATTTAGAGGGCTTGGATGGTATTGAAAACTGTTGCAGAGCTTTGAATTTTTAGTAAAATCCCTTTGGATGCACAGTAGAAGTGCAGAGATCCACAGCGTACAATAGCTTAAATTTTTACAGATCGTTGTTGTGGGTTTTTCGGGCTCTTTGGCCATGTTCTGAAAGTTGTTGTTCCTAACGTTTCACCAATCTCTGTGGCCGGCCGCTTCAAAGGACAGGAGTCAGAACTCTGTCTGTGCTTTTTACAGATCGTCCAGCCCTTTCTCATGAACCGGCACTTAAGGTCTTAATAACTCACGCCAAAGACATTTGTAGGAGAAAGAATAAAAAATGTCTCATTACTTACAGTTGTGGACAGATCACTAGGAAAGTAACAACAAACTGAACATTGATGCCCAACTGACTAAAGAGAGAGAAAAGAAGTTTCAGCAGAGGGGCGGGGCTCTCTTTGAATTCTGCGGTGGAGAGGCACGATTGGTTAGTACTGGATAGATTGGCAGTCACCTCCATCCCTCCCAGACACTCAAACTACAGGCAGCATCCAAGGTTATAAAAACTCCAGCAAAAAAAAACATGCCCAGTTAATGCTTAGCAATTACCATGTAACTTTTCAGCACCATCCTCCCCTTTATTTTTAAAAAGTTATCTCCCAGAACAAAAGAGAGAGAGAGAGAGAGAGAGAGAGAGAGAGATCTCAAAACTGTGTTTGAAAGCATTTGAGGAAGGGCCAAATTTAGATGTTAGAACTGGGACCAAGATCAAATTTGTTTAAGATGGCGTTTGAGCTCTACTCCTGTTCATACCCAGCAACTTAAGATCAACTTGAGAGCTGATTATTATGTAATACATTTCTGTCTTTCCACAGAGAACTGCTTGTGATTCTCGCCAGCTCCCTGCAGCAACCTGTTGAGGATGGTAGCTGGCCATAGCAAGCTTCCTGGCTATCCTAGGTCCTGAAACGTGGTCCTGGCTACCTGCTTAGGGAAATCTGAGTTGAAGTTGCAGCAATCCACTGTGCAAGCCCTGCTGCAGTCTAAAAATGGTGCCAAGGGACATTTTTAAAAACTGCATTAGGGCTCTGCTTTCGCTGCATGTTAAGTGTGCTTTCTGGGTTCAAGATCTGGCCCACTGTATTACACTGTCTCTCATCATGCATATACCGTATTTTTCCGTGTATAAGACACCCCCATGTACGTATAAGACAACCCCCCCCCACTTTTCTAATCCAAAATTAAGAAATCTAAGTGGGGATTAGCAAGTGTAGGGGGAAAGGGATAAAAGCTCTGCAGGATCACTTTGATCCCCGCTTTTCCCTCCACTTGTTTTTGTTCTCTCCTCAGCTTACTTCCATGTATAAGACGACCCTCAATTTTTAATCTAAAGATTTTAGACAAAAGTATGGTCTTATACACGGAAAAATACGGTACCTTGAGAATGAGGCAGGGGGGTCTATGCAGGTGAGAACTTAGTAAAGATGGCGGATCTGGTGGGTCAAGAGGATGGCGATATCTCTCCTTCACTTCTCTGGATACAGAGGACAAAAGAAGACTCTGACGGGACACATCAAAGTCTTTCCTCTCCCTTTCCTTTTCATTCTTTATTTTTCAGTCTCTCTAACCAAGCAGGGTAGGTGGGCCACATCTTCTGCAGAAGGTCTGCCCTTCCTTAAAGATGAAACATGGCTGCTCTGATACGGTGACAGTAAAGATCACACCTGGGCTTTTGGCATATGAGGAAATATCCAGGCAACCATTCGCTCTGAAAAGAGGGAAACTCCACCTGTTGAAGTTCTGCCTGTCACATTATTATTAAAAGCACCACAGGGTGGTGGCAGTGGTGAGGAAGTCGAATGAAAAGCCAGTCCCAAATCTATTTTTCCCATCGGCAAATGTTCTCCTCTGAGATGAGACCGCTGAAATTTCTGTCTTCACATGCCCACAGGCCTTGGCCTCTGATTCCCCTGCGAACAGGGACGGCCTTCTTTGGCCTCACCATCATACTCTCTTACAGCTGGAAGGGGACCCAGTAGGCCTGGCGCCTTTCCCAGCTTCTTGTCTGCCGCTCCTTTTTCTCCAGCTTCTTTCTTCAGAAACAGTAACCTGATGCCAGGACGTGCCGAGAGGCGTATAACAGGCAGGTGGCCCAGGTTATTTATTCCTCTGTCCTGAGTTTACAGTCCCCTCTTTCTACATCGGATGCCAATGGATTCCTTTCTTGTTCCAAGCCCTACTTTGGGAAATAAAAAAAAAATGTTTGGCCGCTTCCCCACCCTTCTGTGATCCAGAAATGTAATTATGTACACGCACATGAGGGCATGCGCTGGTATACATAGAGAATCAAGACAACTCTTCCTGCTTTGGAGGGAGGGAAGCATCTGCTTCTTGTCCCCACCCGTGCCTATAAAATGCCACACTGGAATATGGAGCGTAATGCCCGGGCATTGATATGGTGGGAGGAAGTGAATGGCATGAATAAAGAATGGAAGGTCAGACTGCCTTTCTTCCTTGCTCATGTCTGGCCCTCTGGAATGGTTTCTCCATCTTTAACAGCTGTGGCATGGGACAAAACACAACAGGCATGGAGTTACAGTAACAAGGGGAACTTCACCTGTTGAGTTTCTGCCAGTTGTACCACTCTGGAACATATACAAACCCTGCAGCAAGTAGAGATTGACGGGGGGAGGGGGGAAGAGAGAGGGAATTTGGATAATGTAGTATTTAGGCAGTGTTTCTTATAGCTGGATTCCCTTCTAAGTAACGGGACATTTTTGAGATTCCTGCTTGTTTCTTCAATGGAAGGAACATATATGAGCAAGATTGGGCTTACACCAATTCCTACCATAATATATGCCAATGCATTCTTCTAATGCATCTCTTAGAAGATGTCCCGCCATCTGAAAGCTGTCTGTGGAGGAAAATTTATTTTGCAGCCCTGGCCTTAAACAGACAGAACCTGAGTCTGAGCCTCTTCCACACCCTTCCGGTTTGGCCGCCCCACATCACAGACCCTCCCTTCCTCTCCTTTATCTTTAACTCCCGCATTAAAAATGTGTAGTGATATTCTTGATATTTGCCTAGCAACCTCCTGCTCCTTTTCTTATCATTTCTCCCAAACTGCCCCAAATAATGTGGTGGCCCTGACTGGCAGTTGTGGACTTCTCTCTCTCTCTCTCTCTGTGTGAAAATAGCTAATGCTACTGAAGGGGACTTGGTCCCCCAAGCAGGCCTCAATCCTTAGGGGTGGGAGGGAACTGTCACTGCTTCTCCTTAGCTCAGCATTTTGAGGCTGTTGGAGATGATTACCATTTTCCTCTTGGATTCCTCACGGAGCAGAGCCACAGGGCGACTGGGGGATTTGTGTCCCCAAAAGGTAACTTTTCCAAGCTCCCTTTGCCGTCGGCCTCAAATCGTGTGGGTTTTTGGTGGCTGGCCATCTGGGAGGAAAAGGTGTTGGGAAGAAAAGTCACTGTACTGGTGCCTTAAATGGAGAGAGCCTTGAATGACCTCAGTGCAACTTCCAAAAACTGGTTTGAATTTAGGGAGGTGTATGAGTATGAACCCTGGCACTCAACCCAGAGTGCTCACTGGAAGGACAAATCCTGAAGCTGAGGCTCCAGTACTTTGGCCATCTCATGAGAAGAGAAGACTCCCTGATGTTGGGAATTTATGAAGGCAAGAGGAGAAGGGGATGACAGAGGACGAGATGGTCGGACAGTGTCACTGAAACTACCAACATGAATTTGACACAACTCCGGGAGGCAGTGGAAGACAGGAGGGTCTGGCGTGCTCTGGTCCATGGGGTCATGAAGAGTCGGACACAACATGAGTATGAAAATCACTTGAAGACCTTCGCACAGTGGCCTTTAAAGGAATACTGCAAATATTAAAGGAATACTGCAAATATATTCCTGAAAAAAAAGGACAATGCTGGCTTTATCCACTGTCCAAATGTGAATGAGGGAACACCGTTTTCCTGGTCGAATCAGTAGCATACTGGATACTTGACCAACCCGTGTAGTTAAGAAATTAAATACTCTCCACTTCTTAAGTTTTACAGAAGCTCTCCTCCTTTGGTTCGTCCCTCTCACACACTTCTTTTCTTCCTTCTCTCGGTGCAGGAAATTAAACACATTTCACAATCAGCCCCACCCCTTCTCCCTCTCTCTCACATCACTGCTCTCACTACCACCCTGCATGAGTGTCTTCTAGGAGTGCAGGAAATGGCCAGGGTGCTTTCCGCCCCCTTCCCTCCTCTCTCTTCCCCCGCTTTTCAAAGGAGGTGTTTGCTACCGAGGGGAGGGGAGGAAGGCTGGGAATTTCAGAAGATGGGGATAATACCTTGGCTGCCTATAAAGGGCTGCTTCTGTGGGGCTCGTGTGCCAACCAGAAGCAGCAGGCTGCCAGGGCAGAAGAAGCCAGCGCTGCTGAGCAGCTCTTGGTACCAAGAGAAAGACAGAGAAAGAGTGAAAAAGGCCAGGAAAGAGACATTCAAGCATCCTCCACTGGGTGGCGATAGAGGAAACCTAAGAAGGGAAGAAGGTCCTCCTTGGTCATCGTCCTCCACTAGGGAAGGCAATCACAGAAAGTTTTGGGAAGAAGTACCTCCATCAATCAGCAGGGGGTGACAGAGAGAACCTGGCATTTCTACTAGGATTTAAAACTTGCACCAGATTTTAAACTGGAAGAATAATGTGCCTTTCCTTGGGTAAGTATATTCCAAAGCATGTGGTGTTTCACATTTTTGGACATGGTGTAGAATGTTACGATATGCCTATTTGTGTCAGATTTTACGTTAAAGCTATGGATGTATTAGTTGATTTTCATTGATTTTATTTTAATAACCCCCTTTGTCCAAGGACAACAACCCTTGGAGGTAGATCAGGCTGATGGGCCCTCGGGTAATATCATGAGTGTCATGTCTTAGTTGCCCTTCTATCTGGCGTTCCTCAGTAAAAAGGATGCTTGGTATGCACCAAGATGTGTATTTGTTAGTTGTTACGTTATGTGTTAGTGCTGACACACTCCAAGATAAACTGATGCAGTGCATCCAGAAGGCACAGCTTTTCTTCATAGGGGTAAAAGCAAAAGAGAGAGAGAGGGGGGAGGAAATAATTGAAATGTTATTGCTGTTTAACAATGCTGCTAAATGCGCCATGCTCCCTAGCAGTACAGCTGTGTTTTGGGTTAGGTCAGATTGGCAGTGCGTGTGCACAATGGTGCATTTAGGGAGAGGTGCTAGGTCATTAACAATACGCTACCCGGGACCCTTTAAAAAGGCTCAAAAAATGGCCCTGCCTCAACTCTTGAGGTCAGGAAAAGTCAGCCCCAAGACTCATGGAAATAATGGGACAATGGAAATGGAGAAACGAATGCTGTTACGGAGGACAGGAGGTAGTCAGAACTCGATTCTGAGTAAGCCCTGGATGCATTTTGGTACTGCATTTGTTTCGTGGACAATATAGCTATTGGTGTCGTTTTTTTCGTGTTCTAAATTTTGAGCAGATTCTTGGGGTCAGGAAGCTTCCCTATGGGACGTTCCACAATCTTTTGAATGGGGGGGGGAATGGGGGAACCATTGCCTGTCGCTGCTGCTCCCCTTCCCTCTTGTCACCGCCTGCTTTATTGGCCCTTTTCTAGGGTTTAAGTGAGGAAGGGCAGCGGCTTCACCTTCTACCCTTGCATTCTCCCTATTAGTCATTGTGTGGCTCAGGCCCAGAAGGCCCAGAACAAAAAGAATGGGGCGGTGGTGACAATGGCAAGGGATACTGGAATTCAGGAATCTTCCCCACCAAGCTGGACTTGACATGGATGGTTCTTTTTTAAATTTCTTTTCAGCCAGCAGCCTCTTGGCCGTCGGTGTAGCCCTGATCCACATGGTTTCTCCTGAGCCTGGCTCTTGCGCCAATGCAACGATTACCCAGACCTACAACCTGGTCCGCTTGATGCAAGCCAACACGACGGTCCTCCTGAACACCTATGTAAGAGTTCTGCCTTGCAAAATGGGGGATAGAGAGGAGGGTGAGGGCAGCTCAGTTATATTTTGCACCACGGCTTTTGAATTCCGTTCTCAGAAACGGTGGGATTTCTTGGAAGCTCCTCGTGTACCCTGGGTTCCCTGAAAGACAGACGGGCTATCATGGGCAGGAAAGACTTTGCTGTTTTTCAGAGATTTCCTCTTCAATTCAAGCAGGCTAGATTAGCACCTCGACTGAACTGAGGGCCAAACTAGACATTATACTAGATAGCGTACTGTATCACTAGAAGTTGAAATTTCAGAGAATTTGTTTTACGCAGGCCTTCATTGTATCTCCAAAGGCACTGTATGTTTAATTCTTGATGGCCATCACAAAACAAAAGGAAGCTAATGTACAAACGACGTGAAGTGAAAAAAGCTCCCGCTGCGACAATCAGATGTTTTCAGCAGCTAAGGAAATTCCTCTTTCAATGACGGGCTGTTTGCAATATACTATTTGAGTGTGTCTTAAAGAATGTCGTTCTGCTTCCTTTCTCCTACATGTTGCATCCTTGATCAACGGTTCACTGAAAGCATTTTTTTTAAAAAAATTGCTACTTTATATTATTTTTCTAAAATTTTATTTTAAAACATTATTCCCTTTCCTCCCAAAAAAGCCCGGGATTTTTGCAAATTTTATAGATCTTGCAAATGATGATTATGTATTTCCTTGATGGTCACGTATTTCCCTCAGGCTCCTCTGGAGCAAACCCGTATTGTCAGAAGAAAAGAGCTAGGAAGGTTCGCCTACAAAGTTCGCAACAGGTGTTTCTTGGCTTAGCAACACAACCAAAGGAAGGGAGAAACCCATTCACCTCCAAAGCTGCCATCGGCTTCTGTGTCTTTACGCAGCTTCTGCAGACAGCGTGGCAGACACCTGAGTATTTCCCTTGCCCTGCTTCCCACAACTTGCCGGGCATAAGATGACAGCTGTCATGAGGTCATCGTAACCCCAGGGCCTTGGCACATGGCTCTGCTTCCAGTAACCTCCATGTAAAAGAGTTCACTTTGGAGGAACTACGGTTGGCTGAAGCGGGAAATAACAAGAGGCTTGTTTCTTTGGCCCTGTGGTCCACCTCCACCACCAGGAAGAATTCCAAAGAAATGAAGATGTCAGGGACTGGTGGTTCCTCAGGACTAGTGGTTCCTCAGGAGTACTGAGAGATGACGTGGAAGGAAGATATTTCCTAGCACCCCCTTCCAGAACCAAGGCACATATTCTACTTCAGGCTGCCTGTTGTGTTTAATCCACTGGAAATCCTATCGCTTAAGCTTGGGGAGTAAAGTTATCATATTGGTTTCCCTGGTAACTTGTGGCTGGGAGAGAGGTTTGGCCAAGGCACGACAGAGGTGCAGGGTGAATGAGGTGGAGAATGATGGCATTTCAAAATATTTACTTCAGGGAAGGACTTTTTTGGTGAGCCTTAGGGCCCCTCCTGGTTTCACTGTGGGCCGCACAGCTGCCCGAACCAGAAACACCTAGAAGTCCACTTCTGGTTTGCTTGAAAGGAGCTTCACACTTTGTGAAGGATTCCAGGAATCCTTTCTTAATCACTTCTGGTTTGCTTGAAAGGAGCTTCACACTTAGTGAAGGCTTCCAGGAATCCTTTCTTAATGGGGAAAAATATTGGGCAACAAGATGCTTCTGGGGACTCGGCAGGGCACATAAAGCCTACAGGCGCCTAGATACACACGTCATACATTTGCACCCTGCCAACCTAGCGGTTCGAAAGCATGCAAAATGCGAGTAGATAAATAGGGACCACCTCGGTGGGAAGGTAACAGCGTTCCGTGTCTAAGTCGCACTGGCCATGTGACCACAGAAGATTGTCTTCGGACAAACGCTGGCTCTATGGCTTGGAAACGGGGATGAGCACTGCCCCCTAGAGTCGAACACGACTGGAACAAATTGTCAAGGGGAACCTTTACCTTTACCTTTAATCCTTTATTGAACTAAATGTAGCCTTTGTGGCATTTCAAAGTTGTTCCTCCCATTCAAGCATTGCTACCACAGCAACAGCTGCTTCAGATTCAGCAAAATGGCTGGTCTGTGTGCCCTCAGATTATGTTTTAGGCCAAGGTTTTATCATAATATAGTGTGCTGACGTTCAGAATATTTATTCAGTCCTCTGTTTCCTTGTTCCCTTCCCCAGCAGTCAGTCAGCATTCCAGACCCATTGAGCATGTCCATTCCTCACTCTGATATTTGTAAGCCATCCCTCCTCTTAGAGGTTATCTTCCAATTCCTCGCGCCACCCCATTTTGCAAACCTTGTTGTCCCATCGGTTCTTCCCTCTTGTGCGTGGAGGGTATTGTTTGGGCTTCGTAATTACAAACAATTAGAGGATTATTAATACTAGGATTGGGTCTTTGTATACATGATATTCATGATACTTCTATTTCTCCCCAACCAACCCCAGCCCCTTGTGTGCCCAAGAGTATGCCAGAATTCCAGAGAATCCTGGCTTACCAGGGAACAAGCCGCCTGCTGGTCCACACACTCTGTTTCCTTCCACTTGGCCTCTCTCACCAGCAAGAGAAGATGTGCAAGTCAGGAATGAAAAACGTTGGTTCAGATCAAAGAATACCAGAACTCAGTTCCATGCAACAAGTTCCCAGATTTGAAATGATATGTTGTCTCCAGAGAATGATCAGTGATTGCAGCAGCAGAAGCTTCCTGGTCTGACAGGGAATTTCAGTCAGTCTCATCCAGCATAAAACCTGGGAGCTCTCTGGTTTAAGACATGTTGGAGACTGAATTCTCCGTCTCTCCCTGAGTTATCACCTCATTTATATAATGCATGCCTCTGTTTCTTTCCATCCCAGCTTAGTCATCAAGGTAGCCCATTTAGTGAACCTGGCTTCTTCAACACAGGACGACTACACTATGACGGTGTGCCAACTATTGCGATCCATTTCCTGGAATGGCGGAGCATGACCGACATGGAACGCCTGGGCCAGAACTATAGAGTTTATAGCATCTTCTTTGAGTTTCTGCAACTGATTTGGGATGACCAGTTAGAAATCAACCCCTATGAGACTGAACTTCTAGAGATGCTGAAGGCCACCCAGCTGCATATCAAGGGCCTGCTCAGCAACCTGACAGGCATCATGTGCTCCTTAGGTTCTCCACCCACGCCCCTAACGGACCCGCTCATGATGAAGGTTACAGAAGCTGACACTTTTGAGAAGAAATTTCGAGGATCTGTGGTGTGTTACAGGTACAGGCAGTGGGTTGACCGGACTGTTCGAGACTTCTCCCTTCTTCAGAACAAATATCGAAGTTAAGAACTACTCAAGGAGTTGGGTGACTTCTACATTCAACTCCTTATTGCAGACTTCTCAGGGAAACTGGGCGGAGGACCAAAGAAGACAGCTACAACATAGGTAGCATGTCAGGACCAATTTTGTCATGGAGTATCCTTGTTAATTTAAGTTTGCTCCAGAGAGAGCTATGAAAACGTGCTGCGGGATTTTAGTAGAAACTGGTTGTGCATGGTTCTGATTGGCCACAGTCATCTGCCACATGACCAAGATCTGCTTCCAAATCCCAGAAAGGTTTTGCCCAGAAATAGCTTCCTTTTTAAAATATTCATCAGGAAAAAAATTAACAAATTTATGAATAAACATTTATGTGGCACTTAAAGTATCTGTGCTTGAGAAGGGAAATGGCCCACCTGAAGAGTCAGTAGGGAGGGAAAGATGAATCTGAGAGCTGAGCCAGAATTTGCTTCACTGGCATTAATGATATGAAAAACCTCTCAGAATTTGGTTTTATTCAATTTCTCTGTTCTGGTCTACCTTTTGTTCCTATCCTGGTTTTGTTCTGGGTTGTGAGACTTTCCTTTTCTTCCCAATCTGAAATCTCTGTCTTTTTTGGCAGGAAATTTTTTTCCCCTCACGTACGCTTTTATTTAAACCTTTTCCCTCATTGATTTATTGGCCCTCGTCGCATTTTTGTCGTTCTCATTTTAAAAAGTGCATACAAGTTTTACAGGCATTTGGTCTGCCTGAAACACCTGCTGTGTGAATTCTCAAGGCGAGATCTATCCGTTCTTGCAGCGAGAATGAAAACACAACTTTGGCTGAAAAACCAAGGTGGGCAGCGATGTTCATCTCTTGCAACGAACCCATAAAGAATCCTGTGGTCCATTAAAAAGAGAAAAGGTTCGTGTCCTGCAGCTGGCTGTGATGAAGTGGACCACACTCTTGATAAATTTATGCCAAATAAGACTTGTTAGGTGTTATGGTGCTCCAAAACTCGTCAGTTTTGCTTTCCTCGAGAAAGTAATCCAATGAAATTCTTTTCAGTTCCTAGCTGGCACACACACTTCTTGCTTCGGTTGCAACGTCCTGAGAAAAAGAAACTGGGAGTGCCCCGGTTTTGTTACCTTTGTCTTCAGCCACTGAGGTTTAGCCTCTGCTCAACTAGACATCTTCCAAATATTATTTTCACTTTCCCAACAACAAAGTCTTTTCCAAGGAGTCTTCTCTTCTCATGAGATAGCCAAAGTACTGGAGCCTCAGGTTCAAGATCTGTCCTTCCAGTGAGCACTCAGGGTTGATTTCCTGCAAAATGGATAGGTTTGTTCTCTTTGCAGTCCAGGAGACTCTCAAGAGTCTCCTCCAGCACCACAGTTCAAAAGCATCTATTCTTCGGCGGTCAGCCTTCTTTATAGTCCAGCTCTCACTTCTACACATAGCTACTGGAAAAACTATAGCTTTAACTATGCGGACCTTTGTTGGCAAGGCAATGTCTCTGCTTTTTAAGATGCTGTCTAGGTTTCTCATTGTCTTCCCCCCAAGAAGCAGGCATCTTTTAATTTCATGGCTGCTGTCGCGATCTGCAGTGATCATGGAGCCCAAGAAGGTAATATCTGTCACTACCTCCATATCTTCCCCTTTTATTCCTACAACAGAACAAATACTGTAAGGTCGGAACACAACCACACAGTCTTTTAGATTGCAAAGCACAGAGCAAAGACTACAGTACTGATCTTTCTAAGCAGCTCTGGGACCTTTGTTGCTGCTGCTGCCGCTATGAGCAGCAGGAGAAAATGTTACAAATAATAATGATGATAATTTATGTGACCGATAAGTTTACATGCATTATTTATAGACTATTTAAGGTGAGACTGTAACTTATTCTTTATTTCTAATTTTGTGCAATGCTGCGGAGTTTTATTTTTTTTAGAACCTTTCAGAAGAACAGAAAAATAAAAATAAATCTCCCGGCAAGAGAATGGAAGCAAAGCAATAATATAGATGTGAAAATAAAGACAGTAACATATTGTTAAACTGATGTCTGGGGGAAGTTTCTTAGCAGAATTGAGTCTTTTCCATGGATGTAACTCACACTTCCAGCAGGGAATCCTGAGACATGAACGCTCATCCCTTAATTTATCCACTCTTAATTGTTGCACCCATTTAAGGAACTGGCAATTGGGCAAGTGAACTGGCTCCCCTCAAAACAGCATTGCAATTAAAGTGATTGATTAGGCCAGTTGAGCTGTCTCTGGGATGACCCTTATTCACAAGTGCAATAGGTATTGTGTAGATGCATGTGTGAGTTACACCCAAATATCTCATCTGATCTGGGAGTAGGAGTGGACTGAGTGACGTGAAATGGGATCACCAGCTCCCTGCTTATGTGTTAAACAAGGTATATGTTTTTGTCAGGCCTGAAGTGCAATGAGATTTAAGTCACATATGGGTTCTTTTCTCTGCTATTCCCTTCTTAATCTCTCTCTCTCTTTCCCTGAAAACTTTTTTCTGCCTTCTCTCTCTGCAAACTATTTTCCGCCTAATGGCACAGTGGTTAAACTGCAGTACTGCAGCCAAAACTCTGCTCAGGACCTGAATTCAATCCCAGAGAGCTGGCTCAAGGTTCACTCAGACTTCCATCGTTCCGAAGTCAGTAAAATGAGTGTCCAGCTTCCTGCGGGCAGGAGCAATGTATAACCTGTAGAATTAAACATTGTAAACCTCACAGAGAGTGCTTTAAGTACTGTGGGGTGGTAGATTAGCAGCATGCTTTTTTGCCTCTGTCATTGCCCCTCTCTTTCCACCACCCTTTTCTCCAGCTCTGTGCCACACTTTTCTTTTTCTCCCTACAATATTTCTCCCTATCTCTCCATCTTTTCTCATCATGTCTATCATCCCTCTCTTTCCCTCCCTCTCTACTATGTCCTCCTCCTCCTTTATTTCTCTATACCTCCCCCACCACCACACTTTCTTTCTGGCATAACCTACCTTCTCCCCCACTATCTTGCTATCATCCAACTGTCTAGCAGGCACAGAGATGAGCCCCCACCATGTGTTTCAGCTCAATGCTGGCTCTGAGCTGACAATTGATGGAGACGTTTTTTCTCCACTTTCTGAATGACTGCAGTTCTACCTGGCCAGGCTGTTCAACAATTCCCTCTCCTCACCCATCCTGTTTTTTGGAATGTTATTATATATATAATAGTTGAAAACAGTATATTTTGGTACCTATGTTTCTTGCAGAATTTCTTTAGGAGTGTGATTGATTTTTGTATATGAGATTTTATTTTGTATAATAAAATTCACACTATTGAAAAAAATACATGTTTGTTTCTGTTTGTCTTGGAAATACAGAGGTTTGTGCAATAGCGATAGTCTATCTGTACAAAACTAGATTAAGAGCTGTAATAAACACTGAGAATTACGTCAAAAAATGACAGGATCTGAGAGAATGGTCTTAAGACTCATGTTGTAGCTTTACTACTGGAGATAAGCTTGTCTGGATCTTGTAATTTGCTTGGAAGAGATACCAATGTGTAAACCATTTTGAGCTCCCTGCAAAAAAGACTGAAAAAAGTTTCTGAGAACTTAGCAGCCCTATTTGCTGAGAGCATTTGGTCCGGGAATGAAATGACTATAGCCATTTTTCACCAAACTTCCAAAGGATGAGAAACTGTTGGAAGTCAATGGGTGCAACACAGCTTACATTGAAGATACATTAAAATGAGCCCATGGAGAGATCCGGTACTCCTTGAGCTTTCTGAATGATATTCTGCCTGGTCTGGCTTATGTTGACCTTCCGTCAGCTTAGCTTGATGTTTCTGAGCGATACTATTATCTGAGCCTCTCCTAGAGAGAACAGAGGAGACATCTTGCCTGCTCATGAGAGGCAGAAGACATTTCTGGCTCTCTGATGGAACTAAGATACTTTATCGTCTTCCCTATCACTCCTTGAGCTTTCTGAATGATATTCTGCCTGGTCTGGCTTATGTTGACCTTCCGTCAGCTTAGCTTGATGTTTCTGAGCGATACTATTATCTGAGCCTCTCCTAGAGAGAACAGAGGAGACATCTTGCCTGCTCATGAGAGGCAGAAGACATTTCTGGCTCTCTGATGGAACTAAGATTCTTTATCTTCTTCCCTATCACAAGGTACAGGTAAACGTTCCCCTTGACATTTTTAATCAGTCGTGTCCGACTCTAAAACGTTCCCCTTGACATTTTTAATCAGTCATGTCTGACTCTAGGGGCACGATGCTCATCCTCGTTTCCAAGCCGTAGAGCCAGCATTTGTCTGAAGACAGTTTCCGTTGTCACGTGGCCAGCACGGCTATACACAGAACACTGTTTACCTTCCCACCAAGGTGGTACCTATTTATCTACTCGCATTTACATGCTTTCGAACTGCTAGGTTGGCGAGGAGCTGGGACAAAGTGATGGGAGCTCACTCCGTCGCGTGGATTTGATCTTACGACTGCTGGTCTTCTGACCCTGCAGCACACCAAGGCTTCTGCGGTTTAGCCCGCAGCGCCACCACGTCCCAAGGTACTTCTCTGTTAAACACTAGATTTCTTATTTTCCTAGAGTCTCCATCTGATGTCTTTCCAAAGCAAGAAAGGTGCTTTGTAAATTATTCTGATATTCAAGTGCTGGCACTGTGAGTTAACTTAGGGTGTGATCAGATGGCTACAGGCGTGTCCAATCTCCCTTAAAGCATCTCTTCTGTCTAGAGATGGGCACGAACTGCAATTTCAGGGGTTTGTAATGGTTCGTTCTCTGGCGTTCTGTGGTTATCCCGGCTTCAGGGGTTTGTAATGGTTCGTTCTCTGGCATTCTGTGGTTATCCTGGCTCCACCTCCTCCAGCAAGTGCCCAGTCAGAGGCAGCATCCTGGGCTTTCCTGCTCCGCTTCTTCCTCTGAGTGGGCGGAGGAGGCGGAGGAAGGAAGCCCATGGAACCCCTGTGCATCTGAAGAACGAACCATCATAAATCGCCAAATGGCTGGTTTGTGCCCATCTCTACTTCTGTCTGCCAGGGAGTCACGTAGCTCGGCCACCAAAAGTGGAAGCCTTACAGCTGGATCTTTTACGCCATGACCTGGGGGTTGGACTAGTGCGTATTTCCCCATACGTTGTTTGATTGTTGGGGAATAGATCATCCAAAGGATGCGAATTGCATCCAGTTTCCCTGTGTGATCCGACCCTTAGCCACTGCTCACCCATGCCAACCAACGCAGCAGAATGGGCAAAAATAAAATGTGTCCACTCAGCCAGCCCCACTGATCAGTGGGGCCAGGAGAATTCTTGGAGCGGGAGTCCAAAAGAATAACTTTTTTTCCCCGAGCTTCACCTGCAGCTTTCTTGGCCTTTGCCTCAATCCAGCAGGTCAGGCAGCTTCCCACGCTACCATGGCGACACATCCCCTGCAGTCCAAACCGCCACACGGCAAACACGGGCCCTCACAAACAGACAAGCCCTTTGTTCCACATCACGACAGAGGGAACGAAAGGGATGAGTTTGTGGTTGGCAGGCTCTTTCCTTCGAAGCAGGTTGTTGGCACTAAAAAAAAACAAAATAAAAACAAGGAAAAACAACCACCTTGTACGTCCTGAGAGTATGCAAAGCAGCCTACCAGGCTCAGTCTCATCAAAGGCTATTTACAAGGACTGTTCTCACTTTCCTTTCCTCAAAAGTGACTCATTCCTGCCCCCTTCTAATATCGTTGAGCAGCTTCCAGGGTAGGACAGAAAGGAAGGAAGGAAGCAAGCCAGGAATCCTGGGTGTTGCCTATGGGAACGTGGGATTTGAAACTGTCTGTTGTATATGTTCTCTAAGAGTATGGCAGTGTTGGGTTTCTCTCTTTGTCTCCTCTCCTTTGTAATGTGTATTTCAAGCCTTTCCCCCCCAAGACTTGCATCCCACCCCTCGGGCCAAGACTTGGCCACTGCTGCCCCCTCTTGGAGGAGCTTGGGTACAATTTATCCCTAGACTTGTTTTAAACCCACCCACCCCCATTCTGCCCAATCTGGGCAAGCTTCCTACCCTACCATTTCTTTAATGACAGACCGAAACTCAGGAGGGGCAGCTTCTCTATTGTTGCCCCACCATAGCAGGAATAGTGGCTCCAATGGTTTCGGGGCCTGCCCTATAGTGCTCTGATGAGTCCCATTTGTCGTCATTGAGCCCCTTCTGGCATATCTGACTTGACTACCAGC